TTATGCTTTTCTTCAAGCACGGGAAGCTTCATACACCTCTCAAAAATAATCAGAAATCTATGTTAAAAATGAACACAGTTTAGAGTTCCACAGAAAGAAAATGAGGAAAAAACATTACATATCATAAGATCTGTTTTATTTCTGTGGCTTCACAAAATTCTTATTTACCAATGACAACATCTACATCAACCAGACCACTTTCCCATGATGCAGAATACTGTCTCCATAACTCTTTCTATAGCAAAGAAACCAAGAAGTGGGCCAAGTCAGACCAACTGCTTCAGATACAAATCCAGCTACAAGTGTGACACATCCTGACAGTGCTGAGAGATGTGGAAATTCAACCACCACTTTTGCTGGCTGGTTCCTGCAAGAGCTCAGGCAGAAACCGCATCGTTCTCTGAGTTAGCTGGTGATCTAGCTGATCAGCAGACCATGCACGCATAGACAATCTTTGTGATTTCAATTCTTGTGTAAGAACTTGCAGTTTGCTGCTTTTCCCCCAAAGCTGTTTCTGCACAAAGTGAATACTATATTCATCATGTTGCTCCTTCCTCTTTCAGTATAATTCAGCTGACTCGGACACACAGGATTTATCTATTCATGTCTCTATTAACATAATCTCAGTCAAATGAGTAGCCTTTATTCTTACCCCAGCATTAGTAACATGCAGTCCCTACAGATATAACTTCTGTGCTTATCATCAAAAAGTTATCTGCATGTGGAAAAAACCCTGTCCTGTAACAAAACAAAGAGTTAGCTTTTATATGATCTTTGTGAGTCATAGTATATCTGTCCAGTGAATGGTTTGAAACCAAAGTCTCCTGGCAAATTCTAGATCCTCAGTTATACTAAAGGTCCAAGGACCTCCATATGATGTAAGATTTCTGCTGATGAAATATAGCTGAGTGCTGAGAAGAGTTGGGAAATGAAGACATAGAACTGAGAATTGTAAGTAAAAAGTGAAAAGCAAAGTGCATTTTGAGCCGGTAACAGCTGGTAAGTCAGTCTCAGAAATGTAATTACCGAATATCTAAGTAATATAAAGTAATGATGTCTACAAATTGAACTATGAAGACAGAAGAGGAATAGGGAAACTTTGGTGCTGGAAAACTGGTAACAACAGATGGGGAGAAGGCTGAGGTACTCAACAACTTTTTGCCTCAGTCTTCAATGGCAACCTCTCTTCCCACACCTCTCACGTGGATGGGCAGCAGGATGGGGACTAGGGGAGCAAAGTCCCTCCCACTGTAAGTAAAGATCAGGTTCATGACCACCCAAGGAACCTGAATGTACATAAGTGTGTGGAACCCAATGAGATGCATCCCACAGTCCTGAGGGAATTTGCTAATGTAGTTACCAGTCCACTCCATGATATTTGAGAAGTCATGGCAGTCTGGTCAAGTCCCAGGTGGCTGGAAAAAGGGGGGCATTTAACCATCTTTAAAAAGGAGGATGCTGGGAACTACCAACCCGTCATGAGATCCTTCTAGAAGCTAAGCTAAGGCACATAGAGAACAAGGAGCTGATTTGAGACAGGCAACATAGTTTCACCAAGGGCAAGTCCTGCCTAACCTGCCTAGTGGCCTTCTGCAACAGTGTTACTTAATATCTCCATTAATGACATAGACAAAGGGATTGAGTGTTTCCTTTAGCAAATTTGCAGATGACACCAAGCTGAGCAGCGTGGTTGACACATCTGAAGGACAGGATGCCATCCAGAGAAACTTGGACAAACTCAAGAAGTGGGCTCATGGGAATGTCATGTGGATTAAACAAAACCAAGTACAGGGTCTTGCACCTGGGTCAGGGCAACCCCTGGTATCAATACAGGCTGAGGGATGAACAGATTGAGAGCAGTCCTGCCAAGAAGGACTTGGGGGTGCTGGTGGATGAGAGGCTGGGCATGAGCCAACAATGTGCACTTGCAGCCCAGAAAGCCAGTTGTGCCCTGGACTGCTTCAAAAGCAGCTTGGCCAGTGTTACGCCCCAGTTCACTTAGCAGGTTTAGAGGAAGGTTGTTTGGCTGGGTGGTGCACAGGAGAAACAAAAAAATTCTCAGGGGGTTCAGTAACAAACTTTACCTTGCAAACTTTAGAACATTAAGGTAGAATAAGAAACTTGGCAAATTTTAAAACAACGTCCAAAGGAGAAGAGAAAGAAAAAAAAGGGGAGAGAAGGGTTCAGAGTAACCACCCTTGGATCCGATGATGAGACTTGATTGTTGCAATTTAGATGTCTGTTGGTCGAAGTGACATTTGCAGTCTTGATCTATTGGGGGTGGGGGAAGCCCAAGGAAAACAAAGTTCCATGGGCTAACACACTCAGGTTCAGGTAGGAACATGCAGGGAAGATGGAGAGAGACTTTTTACAAAAGCATGTGATGATAGGACAAGGGGAAATGGTTTCGAACTGAGAGTAGGTTTAGATTAGATATCAGGAAAAAATCCTTTACTGTGAGCATGGTGAGATACTGGAACAGGTTGACCAGAGAAGCTGTAGATTCCTCATCCCTGAAAGTGTTCAAGGCCAGGCTTGATGGGGCTTTGAGAAATCTAGTCAAGTGTAAAGTGTCTTTGCCCACAACAGGGGTTTGGAATTAGATGATCTTTAAAGTCTCTTTCAACCCAAGCCATTCTATGAATGTTTTGATAAAAGAACAAACTAGGGTTTTTTCTCCTTTTTTTTCCATGACTGATGTAGCCAGCTTCCCTAGGTTTCTGGTAAATCACAGGTTTGTAACCCTCTGACTGAATAAACTGCTTAATTAGATCCAAGGGACAAAAACTTATATTTGTGGCTACAAACAAGTATGTGGTGAAGAAAGTGTGTTGTGAATTATTATTTCAGTGCAAAAGGTCTAACTGAATTTATCCAAATGTTCTACACTGTTACATGAATAGTAGTTCTGTAGTTAATGTTTATTAAATATGTAACTACGAATTCAAAACTTAAATTCAATTACTGAATTGAAATAAAGAGGAAATGTAATTTTGCATTAAGGAACAAATTCAATTCAGCTTTGAATGTGGAGTTGCTGTCAATTTATTTTTAATTCAGTAAGTGCATATGAACTATTTAAATACATTTTGATTGCCAACTTGCATACACAGCTTTGATTTCAAAGGAAGTTAGGGTTTTTCTGTAACAAGAAAGGCAGAAAATATAGTTTCAATAGCAAACAAGTCTCAGTGGGATCAAAGCATTAACCATTCTCTGTGTCTCTTCAATTACTACTAATCATTTGAGCTACTGCAGTCACAACAAATTGTATAATTCCCTGCTTTGGGAGGCACTGCCTGTATGTTGCAATGTTTAAAAACAGACTTAAGCACACAAATACCAACAGATACATCTCAGAAAATATGATGTTAGCAATAAGACTGCTTTATTAGTCTTGCGATAAACAGTTGTCCACAAGTTCCAAAATGCAGCAGAATTTCTTAAAAAACATGTGGTGCTTTCAGCTATGATCTGAGAGAGAATAAATAATTTTCAAGAATTGGAATGCTGCATTAAGTTTCTGACTTCAAAGGTGCAAAAATGGTCAGGTTTGCCATAGAGTAAACTCTGAATTTACAGAACATGAAACAAGTTCCTCTCACTCCTGTATCTTTAAAAATTTTGTTGAATACAAAACTAAATGCAACTTCACTTGGACTCATGTATAGCATAGGAGACTGTTGTGTCAGCTGTGTAAAAATGTACTAGTCTAGGTTTAATCTGTGTCTTAACATGCTCAGCATACCTAACATGCTTTTTGTTTAGTTGCAGATCAATATTATGGAAGTAGGAACCAAAGAATTCCATTTTATCATATTTTAAGCTGTGCTGTTTTTCTTTACAGATTATTTACAGAATACAAGGAGTCTGGTGCTTGAACCTAGGAATGTTACAACTAAATTGCTTTTTGAAAATAATATTGTTGCTGTAATGCTTTAGAGAAAATGAATTCTTGTTCGAAGAAGTAAAGCTGCTTTCAAAATTTTTATCCTGATATTTCAGAACAGATAGATCTTTTTCCTAGTTAAACCTAGTTCTACTACAGAGTATATTATTCACTGAACAATTTAGTCCAAGATCAGTTTAAATTCAGAGAAGTTGTTTGTCCATTATGTTAGACATTCTTGCATTTGAACACTAGTTAAGTATCCTAATTAGGTTATTTTTATTTGTAAGAAAAAAAGGTATGTGAGAAGCAAACAGAACACTCTGGTTATGTTGATCTCCTATATAGTAATGGAGACAGCATTGACAATTCCCAATAAGACATATTTCCTCTTAGTGTTTAAAAAGTCATAATCAGATCAAGCTGAGTAACTCAGTAGAGTTCCATAGGCAAAAATGGCCTAGATGTATAGCCAGAAATACCGGGAAATCCAATTATTGTATGGCAAGAAAAGACTGTTCTCAGCTCTGGAATGTGTTGAAGACAACATCCAGGGTAAACAAGTAGACTCAAAACAGCTCTATTTGGAAGCTGTTCCTGTGATACAGTTTGATTTACATCGGTTAAACAATCAATATTATCAATATCATCAGTACATCAATTTGTTATTTAATGCCTGTCTTTTCATGAATCATGATATTACTGGTATGTGCTCACATACTGAAAGAAGAATTCCAAGGTCCTTTCAAATTTTGTGGAAACATCCTAATTGATTATTTCTTACTTCATCATTCACTGTTGCTTCCCAAAAAAGAATTCAAATACTCTTATCAGTCAAATATCAAGAATTACTTTTTAATGCTGTTACTTTACAAACCATGCTCATCATCATACTTCTGCTGAATGATCTTTTAATGCTGCTTCTTGTTAGATGATGCATGTTCCTTCAACATCTCTAGTTATACAAAATATCAGGTCTTTTGAGGGCCTCAGTCTCACCCAAAGATGTGGATTCAATAGTTAAGACTAAACCATCAACTGTTCCTTCGAGCTACCACTTCTGCCAATCTTTGTGCCTAGTGTTTATTTTTCTTTTATGTTTACCCTACAGGGCTCTATGAAAACTATCCAACCAATGCAGAACCAGAATGCTGTGATGTCAGATGGGGACTATTATCAGATCATCAATCCAAAGGGACTATAAAAACAAGTGGCTCAACAATGTGTCACAGGACATCGCTCACAGTTTCATCAGCATCAAGACTGTGTAACAGCAGACTTAAACTGTGTGTTCTTGTATTAATTCTCTTACATACAGTACTTACAGTCTCAGCAGCACAGAACTCAACAGGACTGGGCTTTGGAGGCATAACAACTTTGGAAGACAATTCAACCCATGAGGAATAAAAGAAAGGATTCATTTTACATGATAGAAACACAACAGGCCCAAATGACTAGAGTCAAAAACAGCAAAGACTGAGTGCTTTACCCTCAGATCTCTTCTTGAATGACCTTTTGGATAAAATGAAAAGGATGGGCCACTACCCAAACAACAAGGACACATGAACACAGCTTTTTATTTACTAAAAGGCTGTTTGGTGACTTAAATTTCTCACACCATTTTATACACTGTGTTTTAATGTTTGGAGTTTCTTTTTTTGTTTGTTTTTTTGCACTTGTTAATACAGGATTTTATTTTTGGGATGGTTTATCAAAGTTAAATTAAGTCTTTTCTCTGTCAATATCTTTCTAGTCATTGTGTGTGTTCATCTGATAGTTCTGTCTTTTATGTCCTGTCAGTTTCTATTAGAGGAATGACTGCTATGATTCCATGGCAAAGCAGAAAAAAAAAAAAAAGAAAAAAAAGAAAAAAAAGAAAAAAAAAAGAAAAAATCAACAAAAAAACCCACAAAAAAAACCTCAACAAAAAAAAAACACAAAAAGAACAACAAAACAAATTTAAATTTAACCAAAAAATAGAAAATAAATAAAAAATAAAAAGGCAACCACAAAAAAAACCCCAAACAAACCTTACTGTCCTCTTACCCATGGGAACCATTCATCTCCTTTCCCTTTCCCATCTCCCGTCACAGACAACACACATTTGCTTCTGTCTGTGTAATCACAATGAATGGGTACACAATTCTAGTGTGCCTCTGCCACTGTTGCACAAAACAGTTGACTGAGCAAACCCAAAAGGAGCATGAAGGGGGTTCCTTTTAGCTGAACGAACAAGTGCTCTCCTTACAAGGTGGGATCGGACAGTTAAAAAACGTAAAGAATTATATAACAAACTGTTGCTCCAATACCCGCTTGAAGAAGTCCAGTCCTTTCTCACTGGTCAGTTGAACAGGAGCAGCCTTTAATAGATATGCTACATAAAACCAGTTATGCTCAGCAAGTTGAGTAGTTGGGAAACCTTCATATTGGAGGTGAAGGATTGACATTCATTGTGAATCATGTTTTGAGTTCTCCTGCTGTCACATAACCAGCAGCTTTCCATATGGAACGGGAGCTAAGAGCTTCCAAAATCCAATTTTTTTTGTCTCAACAAAACTACACTAGAAGCCTTTGAGCATCTGCAATACAAAGTATCTCTTTGGTTTTGATTCCATTGTTTTTCTAATATCTACATGTTATTGAAAGTTACTCTAGTTTATTAAGGATGCACAAGAATGTGTTAGCACAGATAAAGAAACTATTTTTTTTTAATATATAGGACAACCATTTTCATAAATGTGCAATAAAACCGGTAAAGATACACTAGGATACGAGTAGTCAAGAGAAAAGATTGTAATATGATTGTTGATTTTTCATTTTTGGGGTGGTTTTTAATTTGTTTACTTTTATTTTTGTGGGAACATTTCACCTGCTGAGTGTATGAGAATTTGCTTTTTAAAAAGGCTTTTTAGAGTTTACAGTAGAATCAATGGAAGGAAAAGTTAATAAGGGCTGTTTTTAAAAACTTTACATTCCTTCCTATTCTCTAACTACACTTGGGAAGTGCACTTTAGAGATGTTTGCTGTGTAGCTGGGAAATGAAGGAAACCTATAGAAAATGTTCTCTTACAAAATAAAATATAGTTACCTACTTTCTAGCTATGAAATACCCCTTCATAAATATTAATGTTGTAAGAACATTTAATCACTGGTGCATAATGCATTTTTGTATACACTTTGTGGTCTGTTAAATTCTGAAGAAAAACAAGAAGAAGATAACCATGCTGCTTAAGCGGTTCAAGATGCACATGTTAAGCTGCGAAAGCTCAAATATTTTGCAAGAGTATTTGTTTTGATAGTGTTTTGCTACAACCTGGACTGAGGAGCCTAAAATGATCTGTGCAAATATGACAACAACAAAAAGCACCAGCTAATGCAAAATTCTTCAGCACTGGTTTGTTTCTATAATTCTTCCCTTCCCTTTCTTGCACATGCTATATTTTGTTCAATAAAACATGGTGCTTTTTATTTATTTTCTTTTCTTTTAGAGGCACATGTATTAATTGTAGTGAATTGATGAAAAATTGGGGAAAAATGTAGAAATGCAAAAGAAAAAGCCTTAACTAATGGTAGAATGTAGTTTTGAAAGGACAGAGATGTTACTGAAAAGTGATGGAGCAATAACTGGGCAGTGCTCTGGTACTGTACTACAGCTGATGAGTCACACTACTGAGAAAGCTCTTACTAGGTGAGCTCTTGTTCAACTGACCTCTTAATTCTAGTAAGTGTACATGGTCAGTAAACAGTTTGTTATAACCTTTATCTACCTCTGCTGTGCAAAGGCCATCCAACATACATTTCTGTGATGTTCCTCATGTTTTTTTTGTTCACACCATTACTCACTGTCATCTATTTTTACACTGTACCAATACAGTAGCAAGTCTGGTTCATCCCGATTGAATTGGCACATGAAGAAAAGTTATTATTTCTCTTTTGCCTCATGGTGAGTTAATGTAGAGATCTATCTCTAAGATATTTTATTTCTTCTCTCCTGCTCTTCTTCATCTTTCATCCCTTATTTTTCTATAAAATGGTTTTCAAGTGGTGTCAGTGAAAAATACGATTCCTCCACTGCTTGGTTACACTCAGTCATGTGTCATACAATATGAGAGAGACAGGAGGGAAAACAGTGACAATGACGTCACATGCATAAAGTAGCCTAATTAAACTTGGGGAAAATGAAATAGAAAACAATTACAGACTTTCAATTAATACTCAAGTACAACATGTAATAAATTTGTCCCACTCTCCCCACCTGGAGTTAGTGCCTGCAGTTCAATGGTCTGTGAATTTTCTGTCATCTTTTTGAGGTCTATTTCTTTAATTTCTGAAACAAAGAGTCATGTTGCAGAGGTGACTACTGCTGGGGTATCTGTTGCCATTTTCACCCTAGCAGTGTGGTAAGCAGCTTCTCTTGGTGGTACCTGGGGACATCAGGAGTAGACAAAGACTCTTCTATGAAGTTAAGCAACATGTAATCATGTATGATGCAAAATACCATTCCATCCATTCTTCATTCGTAATAGTTTTCCTGGCACAAACTTAAGCATGCTTGATATTGTGCACATATTACTTTTTTCCAGAATAAATTTGCATCTTGCCACTGCTATAACTGCCATCTTGTTCCATTTCTCCTTGTACTGTATGCCTAATACATACATGATAAAGAGCTGGCTTAACAAAGAAGTAATACTAAAATATTTCTGCAAATGACTGATGAGAAGAAAAAGAAAAAAATAATATTTATTTTATGATCATATGGAAGAAAGAGATTTCCCATGTCTTTTATCATCTTATTTTCTGCAATAGGGAAAATCCAGATTTTGTACAATATGTTAATACTGCTAAGCCAAATGTCATATAACATAACCAGAGCTATATGTTATTCTTTATTGCATTTGCATTCAGTAATACAGTATATTAATGCTTTTCTTTCATTAAAGAGACAGTATCTTTTTTCTTTTTTTTTATTTATTTTAATATAGCAAGTGAAGGCTGTCCTTCTGCACACCATAATTCAAAGACAAAAACCAACAAAATTCTAGAATGAAGTTTTAGCTCTATAAATGATGAAACCAAGTCATCAGCTGCCAAAGAATTTGTGGAACAATAGTTACAAACCAAACAAAGAAATTTCTTCTTGAGAGTTTAAATTAATGCTATTCTACATGATTAAAGAAGAAAGAATGAGAGCTGTATTTCAAACAGCAGAGATGGCAGGTTTCATCTGGTACATATTGTGGCTCTCAGCTTATGTAGTTATACTCTTCTATTAAAAAGTGAGGGACAAGGACATTGTCTTCTGCTCTCTCTGTATTTGTTATGATAATGAATGTCATTTTTGTAAGCATTGCCTCTCCGCAGCTTATGGGAGAGCTCAAGACAGCTTATGTACATGCACACAAATTTACACAGTGAAATCAGTAATAGGTGACTATCCAAAGCACAAGCAAAACTCATTTGCAGAATAGAGCTAGCTTTTAGGAAAGTGAAAAAAAATTTGTGTTAGGAAATTTTAAGATACATGTAAAGAATCAACTAAATAAGGAATCTGTGAAGGTGCTTGGTCCTTACTGCAGCTTTCACTGTATATCTCATCAGTGATAAGACCAGCACAGACTGGCTTCAAGCTGGGCTCAGACTCATGCTGACTTCGGTGGGCCTTGATACAGGCAAAGGCACACTCCTACAAAAAATTCATGGTAGCACATAGGACTCCGTTTTTTGTCTCATAATCTTTACTCAGGAATTGCTCATGGACATAGTGCATAAACAGAGGATCGCTGGGTTCAGCCCTAGCTAATTGAGTCTTAACAACAGACTGGCAAAAGCATATTACTGCTGAATGGTTCTGGTTTTTTATTATTGTCTACTCATATTAATTTGGTGGAGTGGTTTCAAAATCGAACTAGGAGCACAGAGGACTAACAGAAACTTTGTCATTGTGGAGATGAAATTAAATAGCCTTTCTGAGGTAAAAAGAGGCTTTGTCATCCGTCAGCAGCTGTCAGGAAACAGTAGTATTTTAGAAAAGCTTGGGAAAATAATATGTCCAATTCTGAATATGATAGTTCTCAGTAAAGCTAGATTTTTGGATGGGAGTTAGGACTGGAGCACATACCATCTCAACTGATTTAATTTTACAGCAACTCTGAGCAAGTATGTTTACTGAAGACCTCTAGGTGTCCAGTATTTTCCAACATTTTTTCACATGTTAATAAGCTTGATATTTCCCTGAAGGGAGAAGAAAGAAGAAAGATTTACTGTGAGTGATTCTGGGGGGAAAAAAAAAAAAAAAGTTTGGGCCAACTTAGAAAACCCATCTGAGAAACCAACTGTAATTCTTCAAAATACAACAGGGATGAAAAAAAAAAAAAAGCATGTGTAGGTTTATATCTATATAGAAATAGTCCTATTTTAAGAGAGACACAAATGTATGTTCTCTACAATTCTTAAAATACAGTGTACTGTAGGGAAAAAATGCCAAAGGAGAAAATAAATAAGGCAAAATTACTGTATTTATATTACTTATTATGGAGTGTAAATTTCCAAGCAGAATTTCAGCAGTAGAAATAGATATTGTAAAAAAGTAAACAATTTGGGAGAAAGAGGCATATTTTGTTATTCTTTCCACCATACTGTCTCCTATGAGTTTAGTTATTAGTCTTCTGAACTTTTCCTTGAAATTGTTGATTTATGCAGGAAGATCCCAACACAGACCTCATCCCAGCAGTTCCAGCGGGTGTCAGTGGCACAGGAGGTCTCAGTCACGGGTCCTATGGGAGAGCCTATTTTCAACGTGTTGCCTCTGCTTCAGCACTTCAGTCCAGTCTCTAGGCTTC